AGTTATCGCTCAACACTGAACACTGTGGCTTCGGATGCGTGATTATATGCGGAGCCTTATTCAGAGCTCCAATAACAGAGACGTTCGGCCTTTACATAACATTTGGGTCCATCATCTGTTTGGATTAAGCTTTTGTTAATAATAGATGTCACTCTTCAAACGTTTCTGCACTAAAGTTACCTAAGATGATCTGACACAGACTGGGACCAAACTCCAGCGTGTGCTGTTAGTGTCAGGTCAGAGAGTGGCTCGGATGCGCTCGCTCTCCCAGTGTTTACGAGGCCAGTAAAGGACTAAAGGACGAGCACAGAACAGCTTACAGACAGACTCCAGTGAGGGAGCCGCTAATCGTATTATGGGATTGGAGGAGTAAAAATAGCATCTCCACACCCCGCTAGTGAGTCAGGCCCAATTAGCGCGCGATGTGACAGCTGGAGGCAGAACACATACAGATAATGCAAAACCTGTCAATTTATGCCTTGATTCTTCCCCAATACAGAAGGCAAATTATAATGGTGTGAAAAATAGCAGGTTTCTGTCTGACTGGTAACTTTCACACTGAGAACTAAAAAAGCAGCTGCTTAAAATCCAGATTAAATGACAAGTTCTTATAACGGCTTTAACATCAGACACAAACCTGCATGTTTATTTTGGATCTTCTGTATTTGAATCCATCATTACCACACTGAAATGTTTCTTGTTCAGTGCCGGATGGTATTCATCTCATTTTTTGGACACTTCTCACGAGTTAGACATCATTTGAGATGTTAACTACCTCATAGTTTTAAATAAAGTCTTGTGATTATTTGTCTGGTCCAGGTTTCTCATTCACCCCACGTCTGGCATCATTTACACGCAGCCCTGGGCCTCTTTAGACGCTGAAGTCAAGTCAAAATATAATTTCTATGTAAAAGCTGAAGACACTGAGGGGAAATACAGCCTTGCAGAGGTTTTTGTCACTGTGCTCGACCAAAATGACCATCGGCCAGAGTTCAACCAGAACTTCCTGGAAAAGACCATGATCATCGGGGCGCCGGTGCAAATACAGGTTTGTGGGCTTGTAGTTTTCGTTCTTCAACTAAATTGGCCCCCATAGTAGATTAGACGAATCTCTCATTGTGCCTGAGGCATGAACTCCCATGATCCCACAACCAGCTTAGATGAAGGAGATCGTCACTAATGGTGTAAATGTGAATGCGATGATTGAGACTTGACTCCGGTGTGTGTTCAGGCTGTGGATGAGGACGCAGAGGAACCCAATAACATCATTGAATATTCCATCATGAAAGCCGATCCAGACGACATCTTCGACATTAACTCGTCCACGGGAGAGATTAAGCTGAAGCCGTACATCAGGTCTATGGAGATCGTGCAGAACATCACCAGACAGAAGGACTGCAGGTGGTCAGTTCTGGTCCAGGCCCGGGATCGAGGCTCTCCGTCCTTCAGCACCACAGCGGTCGTGAACATCGACATCACCGAGCCGGTGAGACCAGTCAATGTGTGTTCAGTTGTGTTTGTGAAGAATATCATATTACTACCATGTGCAGCGCTTTGAGGTATGATGCGAATGCCTTGGTACAGGAATCTGGAGTGTGTGTGTGTATATACAGTTGTTTTATTGTAGCATGGTACAACCACAGAACTTCTTCATGTTGTGTACATTATTTACAACCCTTTCTTGTAATATTTCTTTCTCTTTTCACAGAATGGGCTCAAAGGGCCCATGGCCGTGTTTCTAATGCAGAGCCGAGAGAATCCACTGAAAGCTCTTGGCCTGGCGGTCGGCTTCATCGCTGTTATGGTTTTGGTGACAGTTTTGATCTCCACTCTTCTGTTCTTTCGCAACACAAAGTCCAATAGGATCAGGCCAGCGCGGCGCATCATTCGCAGGAGGGCCAAAGAGCCTCAGCACTGGAGCTTCAGGCCAGCGTTTGGACACGACCGCAACCGCGATGAGGATGATGAAGACACGAGTGACAAGCTCAAGGGAAACAACAGCAGCTCCAGAACCAAGCGACCCATTCCCAGCGCTCCAGTCCTCCCTCCTCCTCCTCCTCCTCCAGCAGCGACCGGGCCGACCGGGCCTCAGCGGAACCAGCGGGACCATCAGCGGGACTCGGTGTCCGGGCCGACCGGGCCTCAGCGGGACCAGCGGGACCATCAGCGGGACTCGGTGTCCGGGCCGACCGGGCCTCAGCGGGACCAGCGGGACCATCAGCGGGACTTGGTGTCCGGGCCGACCGGGCCTCAGCGGGACCAGCGGGACGTGCCCTCGGTGTCCGGGTCCATCAGTCGCTGCTCCGGGTCCATCAGTCGCACAGACGGCACTGGCATCAGCTCCGCTCTCGTTTCGGAGCTGAAAATGAGAATAGAACAGAAAATTATCGAGGCAAATCGAGGTTATTATTACTGACACACTGACGCATTCCACATGGGTTACGTGTGAGTTTGATGGACCAAACGTTTGATGTCACAAGCAGCTCTTTGTGAAGAATGTTTATTTTTGTGTGAAAGTGTTTTTAAAGTGGCCATCTGGTTCAGCTAAAGTGTTTCTGTTTTTCAAAATGGCGTACAGTCTTTATAATAACATATCATCTGGCTTGTATTCTTAAAAAAAAAAAAAAAGTCATAAAAATGCTAAGTAACTTGCCAATACTGGTCTATGCACATATGTGTCTGTAAAGAGAAAAGCGTTTCAGTAATGTACACCTCCAGCTCTTCATCGAAATCCCAGTCCTGCTGCTCATAGACCCGTTTATGCTTTAGTTCTGGTGATCTCTCTGGTGATTAGCTCCTTACTGCCATCTTTAGGTTTCATTCCATTCAGTCTAAACAATCTAATCATTAATCCCTCAAACGACCCTCTCTGTCCATCACTATTCTATAGATGTACGTAGATGTACGTCCGACTGTCTGACTGCATTTCTTCTTTGAACAACTTTTGCCTTGAGGATCTTCAGTGAAAGTCTATGACTGTATGGACATCTAAAACCAGACTCTCTCATCTAGTTATTGCTTTTTATTATTATTATTATTTTTATTGTTTTGTAAAGAATTTTTCACTGATATTTTGAAAGTGATTTAAGAGCAGATAAAGATCCATGTGCTATTTGTACGGCATATCAAAATGTCAAGTGTGTTTATTATGTAAACTCTGTGCTTTAAATCCATTTAGAAATAAAACATTTTTAAGGTGTTATTTAAAAATGAAAAAATGAAAAGAGTCTAATGTCTTCTTCCTAGTATTCAATTTTTACAGCTAAGTTTACATAATCTCATTTACTAAACATTTGTATTTAAGGCAACTTCAAAAAATAAGGGAAAAACAAGTGATTTTTCTTTGAATAATTTTTTTTTGCAGTGTAACAATATACTAAAGTTGAAGAGTAAATCAGAGCAGTGCAGAAGCTACCCGCTGAAATATTTTTCATTATTACACACACACTGCCCGACACAAACACACACACTGCCCGTCACAAACACACACACTGCCCGTCACAAACACCACACACTGCCCGTCACAAACACCACACACTGCCTGTAACAAACACCACACACTGCCCGTCACAAACACCACACACTGCCCGTCACAAACACCACACACTGCCCGTCACAAACACCACACACTGCCCGTCAACAAACACACACACTGCCTGTAACAAACACCACACACTGCCCGTCACAAACACCACACACTGCCCGTCACAAACACCACACACTGCCCGTCACAAACACCACACACTGCCCGTCACAAACACCACACACTGCCTGTAACAAACACCACACACTGCCCGTCACAAACACCACACACTGCCCGTCAACACACACACTGCCCGTCACAAACACACACACTGCCCGACACAAACACACACACTGCCCGTCACAAACACCACACACTGCCTGTAACAAACACCACACACTGCCCGTCACAAACACCACACACTGCCCGTCACAAACACCACACACTGCCCATCACAAACACCACACACTGCCCGTCAACACACACACTGCCCGTCACAAACACCACACACTGCCCGTCACAAACACCACACACTGCCCGTCAACACACACACTGCCCGTCACAAACACCACACACTGCCCGACACAAACACACACACTGCCCGTCACAAACACACACACTGCCCGTCACAAACACCACACACTGCCTGTAACAAACACCACACACTGCCCGTCACAAACACCACACACTGCCCGTCACAAACACACACACTGCCCGTCACAAACACCACACACTGCCCGTCACAAACACACACACTGCCCGTCACAAACACCACACACTGCCCGTCACAAACACCACACACTGCCCGTCACAAACACCACACACTGCCCGTCACAAACACCACACACTGCCCGTCACAAACACCACACACTGCCCGTCACAAACACACACACTGCCCGTCACAAACACACACACTGCCCGTCAACACACACACTGCCCGTCACAAACACACACACTGCCCGACACAAACACCACACACTGCCCGTCACAAACACCACACACTGCCCGTCACAAACACACACACTGCCCGTCACAAACACACACACTGCCCGACACAAACACCACACACTGCCTGTAACAAACACCACACACTGCCCGTCACAAACACCACACACTGCCCGTCACAAACACCACACACTGCCCGTCACAAACATACACACTGCCCGTCCCAAACACCACACACTGCCCATCACAAACACCACACACTGCCCGTCACAAACACACACACTGCCCGTCACAAACACACACACTGCCCGTCACAAACACACACACTGCCCGTCACAAACACACACACTGCCCGACACAAACACCACACACTGCCTGTAACAAACACCACACACTGCCCGTCACAAACACCACACACTGCCCGTCACAAACACCACACACTGCCCGTCACAAACACACACACTGCCCGTCACAAACACACACACTGCCCGTCAACACACACACTGCCCGTCACAAACACACACACTGCCCGACACAAACACCACACACTGCCTGTAACAAACACCACACACTGCCCGTCACAAACACACACACTGCCCGTCACAAACACACACACTGCCCGTCACAAACACACACACTGCCCGACACAAACACCACACACTGCCCGTCACAAACACACACACTGCCCGTCACAAACACCACACACTGCCCGTCACAAACACACCACACACTGCCCATCCCAAACACCACACACTGCCCGTCACAAACATACACACTGCCCGTCCCAAACACACACACTGCCCGTCACAAACACCACACACTGTCCGTCACAAACACACACACTGCCCGTCACAAACACACACACTGCCTGTAACAAACACACAGACTGCCCGTCACAAACACACACACTGCCTGTAACAAACACTACACACTGCCCGTCACAAACACACACACTGCCCGTCACAAACACCACACACTGCCCGTCACAAACACCACACACTGCCCGTCACAAACACCACACACTGCCCGTCACAAACACCACACACTGCCCGTCACAAACCCACACACTGCCCGACACAAACACACACACTGCCCGTCACAAACACACACACTGCCCGTCACAAACACACACACTGCCCGTCACAAACACACACACTGCCCGTCACAAACACCACACACTGCCCGTCACAAACACCACACACTGCCCGTCACAAACACCACACACTGCCCGTCACAAACACCACACACTGCCCGTCACAAACACACACACTGCCCGTCACAAACCCACACACTGCCCGACACAAACACACACACTGCCCGTCACAAACACCACACACTGCCCGTCACAAACACACACACTGCCCGTCACAAACATCACACACTGCCCGTCACAAACACCACACACTGCCCGTCACAAACACCACACACTGCCCGTCACAAACACCACACACTGCCCGTCACAAACACACACACTGCCCGTCACAAACACCACACACTGCCCGTCACAAACACACACACTGCCCGTCACAAACACCACACACTGCCCGTAACAAACACCACACACTGCCCGTCACAAACACCACACACTGCCCGTCACAAACACCACACACTGCCCGTCACAAACACCACACACTGCCCGTCACAAACACCACACACTGCCCGTCACAAACACCACACACTGCCTGTAACAAACACCACACACTGCCCGTCACAAACACCACACACTGCCCGTCACAAACACCACACACTGCCCGTCACAAACACCACACACTGCCCGTCACAAACACACACACTGCCCGTCACAAACACCACACACTGCCCGTCACAAACACACACACTGCCCGTCACAAACACACACACTGCCCGTCACAAACACCACACACTGCCCGTCACAAACACACACACTGCCCGTCACAAACACACACACTGCCCGTCACAAACACCACACACTGCCCGTAACAAACACCACACACTGCCCGTCACAAACACCACACACTGCCCGTCACAAACACCACACACTGCCCGTCACAAACACCACACACTGCCCGTCACAAACACCACACACTGCCCGTCACAAACACCACACACTGCCCGTCACAAACACACACACTGCCCGTCACAAACACCACACACTGCCCGTCACAAACACACACACTGCCCGTCACAAACACACACACTGCCTGTAACAAACACCACACACTGCCCGTCACAAACACACACACTGCCTGTAACAAACACACAGACTGCCCGTCACAAACACACACACTGCCTGTAACAAACACCACACACTGCCCGTCACAAACACACACACTGCCTGTAACAAACACACAGACTGCCCGTCACAAACACACACACTGCCCGTCACAAACACACACACTGCCTGTAACAAAGACCACACACTGCCCGTCACAAACACCACAAACTGCCCATCACAAACACACACACTGCCCGTCACAAACCCACACACTGCCCGTCACAAACACACACACTGCCTGTAACAAAGACCACACACTGCCCGTCACAAACACCACACACTGCCCGTCACAAACACCACACACTGCCCGTCCCAAACACCACACACTGCCCGTCACAAACACACACACTTCCCGTCACAAACACACACACTGCCCGTCACAAACACACACACACTGCCCGTCACAAACACACACACTGCCCGTCACAAACACACACACTGCCTGTCACAAACACACACACTGCCTGTAACAAAGACCACACACTGCCCGTCACAAACACCACACACTGCCCGTCACAAACACACACACACTGCCCGTCACAAACACACACACTGCCCGTCACAAACACACACACTGCCTGTCACAAACACACACACTGCCTGTAACAAAGACCACACACTGCCCGTCACAAACAACACACACTGCCCGTCACAAACACACACACTGCCCGTCACAAACACACACACTGCCCGTCACAAACACACACACTGCCCGTCACAAACACCACACACTGCCCGTCACAAACACACACACTGCCCGTCACAAACACACACACTG